GAAACATGAAAACCAGGTGTTTAAAGAAACAAAACATGCTTTCGTGGATCAATCTGTTATAATTAAGTAGCAAAAATGGAACCCCAGTGTATTTTATTAAAAAGTGAAGAAGAGCTCTTACCAAGGGAAATGTCAACTTGTGCAGCTGCATATTCCTGAACCAACAGAGCAACATTTTGACTAAATGATGTTCCTCTCCTCTTCACACAACTCTCTTGCCAATTAAAAGGGAGAGCAGCTCGCGTCAATTATGGATGAGTGCTATTGAAATGTTCATGTGATAGAGGGTAATAGTAGAGAACATGTTTTATTACTTAATTGAGTGGAGTTCCAGCAGGCCTTGTATATGAGGAGTGACAGTAGGCGTTATCGCGCAGCGCCCTGGGTAATTATGTTCGGCTAAGTCTGGCTCCAAGGAGGTGAGACTCTCGGTTATAAACAGCGGTGTGAGGCCAACACACAGAAGCTGTTTTATTTCGAAGAGAGTTGTGCGCATGCAGGGGGAAGAATGTCCTTTATTGCGCTGAATGTGTATCAATTTAGACTTCCATCTGAAACAGGTTTCGCACGGCACAATTAGCGCATGTAACGACATTGCAATCAACAACAAAAACAAGTGTGTTTGAAGCACTCAGTCCTGGTGAGAGGTGCAATCATGTTCAGGGCAATTACACAGGTTTGTTGTTCTCTACAGCCATGTTATGTACCTGTGGGATGCTGATTGACTCAACAATCTAATTAGGTTTCGTTATGTAGGATCTACAAAGTGTTGCGATTGGAGTGGTATGCAGGGCAACAAGGTCATTTTCTGTAAGCATCACTGTGTCTTGTTGTTTTCTAACCAGAGACCTATCAGTAACCTTTGAAATGTTGTTGTCACTCTTACAATAAATGACATTTACCTGCTACACAATTAAAGGAACAATGCATTTAATGTTAAAGAAAACGGCAAGGCTATTTTAATTCAGATAATTATATTGTAATCATTTTATAGATTTCTTTCATGTTTTTATAATATTTTGTAATTTATTTTGCAAAAATACGTAATTTATTTGAAAAACTTAAACTTTTACTTTGCAGCTATTGTGCATGTTTTCTAAGGATAAAACAATTAACTTTTGACTATAATAAAGTAAATCTGCACTCTATTAGCATTTCAAAAGAAATAAAGGATAATATTACAGATAATAAAAAGCTTTATTAGTTGCTGTATTGTCTTAAAGTTGTTGGAAAATAAAGAGAATTGCCTGATATTATATATATATTTTTTGTGGACATATTCAAATGTTTCTACCATAGGGAAAACAGTCCACAACAAAAAGTAAATAAATGTATCAACATATTATGAAAAAACGAAATCACCACAATTCAGACACTCAATTTAGCAAAATGTAAGACATTTTGTTTAAAAAAAGTATTGAAACGATAAATCGCTTTATCAAATTAGTAGATAATCTGCACCTGCCAGATTTTACAGTTTATCAGCTGAATGATAATTTTTAGATCACGCCAAAAGAGATACAGGAAACCATCATCTTCACTACGGCTGTTTTAAAAAAATCGCCCTTCTGTGATGTGAAATATTTGAGGGAAAAAGAAAGATAAAGACCTGGAAGATGAACAGTGTATGATGGAGGATCACAGATGATATGGGGAGTGGGGGGGAAGGCTCCGGCCGTGTGACACGTTATCTATGAAAATGGATAAAGCGAGGAGAACAGAGGATCAACACAGTCAGGGCAAAGTCTCCATAGACTAATTATTCCTCTGACAAAGTGTAAACTGTGCCACCATTGTCCCCGCTCCACCCAGTCACACATGTAAGCTAAAGGGAAAAAAAGGAAGTCTCTTCTCTGAAACACATGAAAAAACATTTCTATATAACTTTATAGGTGACGGCGAGGCTCTGATTAAGGTATACGGAGAGGAGGATGTGCGGTGTCGCCCACCTTTGGGGCTCTCCTTAAGTGGCCTTAAATAAGATAATAAGGGCGTTGGGCAGAAAAGAGAGGACTTTGTCTGCTGGCATTAGTGCGATGGCCGTGTTAGCGCTGAGATCTTTGAGGGGGGATAGTGTGCCAGTAATGAGACAAGGTTGCCTTCCCTTGCCGGCCTAATTAATCCTACATTTTCATAGCGTATAATCACTGCCCACAGAGCAGCCTGCTACTGGCCAGGGAAGAGAAGAGTCTCTATCTGTCGCCATATCTCTCCCTCTACTCCTCCCCTCCCTGTGCAATTTATAACACTGGTATCCAGAGTGAAGTGAAACCTCCCAGTATGGACCTATCTGTCATCTTCTACATTATCAGGAAAACACACCGCCTACCATATTGTGCTACAAGGGGTTCCTGCAAATTACTATTTTTATGGAACATGATAAAGGAAATGCCGCCTTATGTTCAGATATTTTACTGTCTAGGAGGAAACGGGAAGGATTGAGTGTTTTAGATTGCTGTGTATGTCTTTTTGATCTTTGTGTATGTGTGTGTGAGTGTGTGCTGGCCAGTGCTGTAGCAGCTGATGGATAATGCAGTGGTTGGTTACGGTATCATAAACATGTGCCTCTAAAGGGTTAAAATGCAATAAAGTTTTCAAATGTAATACACTCCATCATACTGATATGATAACAACTGGAAAAGAATTACCTCGAAACTTCAATCTATGGTCATTTTCAGGTTTCATATTTGTATTCTGTGCCTCTACTTTGACATGTTTCCATGCATTAATGTACAAAAAGCTCTTTATTTTTCTCATTCTGCCTGTGCAGCACCTCTTTCCACCCTTTGTCTGAAACCAGAGCCCAGTCTGTTCTGATTGGTTAGCTGGCCGGCTCTGTTGTGATTGGTCAACCGCTCAGAGTTTTCACACCGCTTAGCCTATCGAATGTTAGCAGACCATTTACATGCACAAAAACCTATATAACACTACAGGGAAGGGAAACCCCCAAAAAGCATAATATGGCCTACTTAACATCTTTTTATTAAATCTTATTTTAGTTAAAGTCGACCTATCATGCTATATTTGAAACATATATTGTAGGGCCATACCTATACAAAACATGTCTGTGAAGTTTTTTTTTCAAAATACAAAACAGATCGCCCATTGTAGCCATGCCTCATACTGCTCAAACCCCTCTTTTGAAGCCCTGTTAGAGAAACGCAGATTTTGGGTCCTTAGCTTGAAAAAAAACGGAGCTAATGCCTGATCAGAATTCTACCGGAGATAAAGTTAAATTCTGCTGTGATAAAACGCCATCCTGTTTAAACCACGTCAAGGATTATTTCTGAAATAGTATGGAGCTCAAATGCTTTTTCTCTTGCAGGTCAACACATCCTCACTCCCAGGTCGGCCTATGTTGACGTTATGTCAAGTCCCCTGTGTCTGCTTTTTCCAACGCAAGGGGGCGGCCCTTAGCGTACATTTTCAACTTTCCGGGGCTTCTATATAGCTCCCTAAACGTATGTTGTAGACGACTTGAGATCGCGAGCGAATGCTACCCGCAGATCCATTCTCACAGCGTTTATCAACCTTTTTCTTACTCAATATCAAGCCACACTTATTGTTGCACGGCAGAGAACACCTGTACGTTGTGCAAACACTGCGCTGAGGGCGTCTCGAGTTTTGCCGTGAAATCGCCGAGGGACCTCGAGCGCGCTATTGGTCATATTTTGCGCGGGACGAAGACCGGCGCAGTGGGCCTTCCTGTGTACGATCACAAGACTCACCCTGTTAGCCTTTGTACTTGTTGGACACGAGGCGGTCTCTTACCTGTCCACAAAATTGCCAAGAGTAGAATGTGCGGGTCTCGGGTTGTCACGCCTCTATGACTCGTTGAAATGGTTTGCGAAGTCGAGGGCAAGGTCGCGAGCAAGCTACTTGCCTCCTTGCGGTCTGTGTCGACCTAGGCGGCGGCACCCGCACACGCGGTCGGCCACCTTTGAACTTACTAAGGAGCAAAATCGCGTTAATTTAGGCGGAGAGCTATCCAAGCGCATGTACTAAGACCAGAAAGTTTTTCTGGTGCTGCGCGAAAGCAAGTACGCCGCGCCTTTCGTATCCTCTATAAATGACACTGGCTGGGACTAGGAGGGTTGTCGGTCGTCGTGCGACGAAGGTGGACCACCGAAGCGCCAGGACTCCGGTGGTCGCGTGAGCACAGAGTCTCTGTGGCCGCCGCCGGGGCCTCTGCGGAGGGGCGGGTCGCTCCGTGGCCTTTGTGTGATTGTAATTGTTTAATTGACATGAACGTTTCCCATGTTTTTAGGGTTGCTTTTCTAGTATGTCAATTTCTTTGCTAACTTGGTCTTTGTTTGCTCAATTGCAGCTTTTAGGGAGAAGGGAGAAGTTTGTGTGTAGGTGGTGGCTTCTTCTTCTTCTTCTTCTTCTTCTTCTTCTTCTTCTTCTTCTTCTTCTTCTTCCGCCGACTTGTTGACAAGTCACAGTTAGGACACCTCTACCTCAAATATTTAGAGGTTTTAGTACAAGTCAAATTCAGAG